ACCAGTTTCTAAACCAACCGTTCAACCAAAGCCAGCTTCCGTTGGCTCACCAATTGTTGTCAACAATAAGAACCCTGCTAAATCTTTCCCAAAAGAAGGTGATAAAGATTTTGTAGGTCCTGTTCTTCCAAAGAAACAATCATCATCTGCCTCAGCTGCCCTTAAACCAGTAGCACAACCAACTGTTGAAAAGAAATCTGTTGCCAAGACTGAAGCAGCTGAAAAGAAGGCAGATGCCACACCAAAAGAAATTGCTAAACCAACAAAGAAGCCAGTTGATACCAAGCCAGCTAAACCTGTTGTCGATACCAAGAAGTCTGATGCCAAGAAGTCAACTGATAAATCTGGTCTGCCAAAGACTGGTGCCAAGAAAACTACTGATAAGAAGACTGATGCAAAGACAGTAAAGTCTGCTCCTGAAAAGAAGACTCCAGCTATGACAACCAAGTCTGTTCAAAATAAGACTAATGCCAAGAAGTCAACTGATAAAACTGGTAAGCCAAAGACTGATACCAAGAAGACTGCCAAGAAAACCACTGATAAGTCTGGTGTAAAGACTAATGCCAAGAAGACTGGTTTGAAGGGAAAGACAACAAAGAAAGATGTCACCAAGTCAACTAAAAAGTCTGACAAGAAGCCATCTGCCAAGAAGGATAAGTCTGCCAAGAAATCATCTGAAAAGAAAACTGGTAAAAAATCAAAGAAATCAACTGAAAAGAAAACCGGTAAAAAATCAAAGACTGACAAGAAGACTGGTGCAAAGAAGACTGATAAGAAGGGAAAGAAGGATAAAAAGCCAACTAAGAAGACTAATAAGAAAAATAAGTTAAGTGCATTGACTAGAGCTAGAGGCCACGTCTTTAAGAAAAAGAAGAAGACTATGACAACTGAAACACCATCCCAATCATCCGAATCTCCAATTCTTGAACATATTCCAATGGAATCAGATGGTTTGTCTAGAAGACAAAGATATGAACGTTCACTTAAAGAAAAATCAAAGAATTCCGAAAACAATGAAGAGAATGTCCAAAAGGAATCCAAAGTTATTGCAACTCCTAGTTCTGAAGACATTAGCTCACCAAGTAATTCG